AATTTTCAGATATTGGTGTGGGCCCAACAGCATATGACAAAGCAGTACCATAATTGATGCCTTACTCTTCATTCGACGCTCGGTCCTTCACTATTTAATCTTATAATTTATAAATATATATACATATTAATTATTTATTAATTATATTATCTTATATATTATTAATTATGTTAGTAAAAATTATTTTATTAACAATTTTATTTCTTCAAATAAAAATATATTACAAAATCTATCCCTTATATAATTATCATATTAACTTATGCCTTTTTTAGTAATTTGTACATGTAAAAAGTGCTTCTTGTGACAACTATCCAAATATTCTCACTTCTCAGAATTACTTTTTTACAAAATCTATTTTTCTTAGAATCTATTCTCTAGAAGCTATTCTTCAAACCATAGTTTGGTTTCATCCAAACACCCTCTAAGTTCTATAACCTACTAAAGATTTGTTGCAAATTGCGATTAAATAGCTTATAAATAAATTTTTAATTATGATTTATGATATAAATATATAAGAAGAGTTTTATTTCCACTCATATCAAAATGTTTATAAATACTTAACAAACGCAGGGACAAACAAACCCTAATAAACGGTGCTTAAATTGTTGACTTTGTATGAAAATGTAATAAAATTTCAATTTTTTATGATACAAAAGGGGAAGAACATCCTTCAAGCAACACTTTTAATTTGTGTTGACTTTAATTGGGAATAATAATGAAAAAAATTAATAAATATTCTCTATCTTGTTCTTTTTTTTTTGTGCAACTGATTAATATTTTATCACGTGATCGACTTATAATAAACGCAGGGACAAACAAACCCTAAAAAGCCTTGAGGCGTTCACATTATCAATAAGTTCGGGTCAGGAAACACCTAGTTTTTTTTTTTTTTTTTTTGCCGTCAGGAAACACCTAGTTATTAGGGGAAGGGAGTACTTTTTCCCAAAGTGTATTAAATATCATATACTCTTTGAAGGTATTAAAAGTAAGCGTGAAGTTGCAAAATTAAAGTAAAAATGACACTGCTATTAAAATGACCTAACAATTATTTTTTCAAGTGAGTGACACGCTATTGTTATACAAGTAATGAAATACTCCCAACTCAAAAGGGTAAAAATTTTACTCAAAATGTGTCAAATACGGTATACTTAGTGTCAGTTTATTATTATAATTAATAAATAGACATTAGAATACTTAGAAACATAGTCGTATCATTCCTTCACATTGTTAACATGTTTCCAGCATTTGATAAACTAAAATGCCTAAAGAACCAGCCTCCCTGTGAATTAGACCTAGATGTTTGCTGCTCTATGTGTATTACATTTCTTACCGAGTGGTTTGGAACTACTTCCTTAGCATTAATAATAGACAGTGATTAATGCATAAAACTACTTCTTCCTTCATAAAATTTAACAAAGAATAAATAAATTAATTAAACATGAGAAAATCTTACAAACTTAAAATTTATTATAATATTAAAATCAAAGTACATGTCAAACGATTTTGTGCCAATATTTTAGGTTTGCAACTATTTTAATATTATATAAAATCCTAAATTTCATTGAAAAAACCGATGGGTGGAGAAGTATATATTCAATACCCTTTAAATATGAGAGACTTACGCCCATTTGAGAAGATCAATATCTAAATCCCAAATTGGGTAGATATTTGATAACCTTTCAAAATTCCTACTTATTCAACTTGTTTTAGCGCTCTTTTATTTGGTTTGGAAGTCAATTTTGTAGGAAAAAGCCTGAAGCGAGTAAGGAATAGAGATCAGAAGTGGAGAGGCTGAAAAGAGACCAACCGCCACGGCGTATGGAGACAAATGCCACTGCCACTTTAACAGAGAGGAATGAGTGCACTTCTATGTGAGGCATCGTGGCTCCTAATCATATTCGCCGCGGCTTCCAAGCTGTCCCAAAGAAGTCCCTGTTCAGTGTAATCCGCCGCAGCCTATGATCACATGTGTCGCAGCCCCAAAGCTGCTCCCAGGAAAGCCATTTTGTGTAATCTGCCGCTGCAGATGACTACATTGGCCGCGGCCTTTGACCCCTCGCAGCTGTGTGTTTTATGATGTAACTTAAAAATTAGGGCATATACAGGGGGAGACTCATTTTTTCTGGACACACTTCTACTTTGGGGTGATTTTAGAGGCTTGCTCTGCTAGGGTTTGGAGCTTTGGAGGCTTGAAAACTTTAGGCTCAAAGCTAGAAGAGATTCAAAGCTTTTCACTCAACTTTTCTAGGTTTCCTTCTTCTTCCTTTCTTGTTTCTGTAATGACTAATAGCTATTCTTATAGTTTTAGCTTCTTACTAAACAAGTATAGCTAAATCAGTTTTTTTAGGGTTATTTTGATCTATTGTATGGATTGAGACTTGGTTTTACTATCTCTTGAGTATTAATAATAATGTTCAGTTGTTTTTACCTTGCGCTTAATGCTTCCTTGTGACTAGCCATCATTTGGATTGATTGTTTGATTAGTTTAAACTCGAGATAGTTAAGTTAATTTGTAACTTTGGTAAAAACGTGCTAGTCCAAAAATTTAACTGAGTAAATAGACGGTTTGTTGATAGAACAGAGATGTATCTGTTAACCTAGCATAGACTAAAAGGGTTTTGGTTTATAAAGTGCAGCCTTTTAAAACAAATGCAAGATTGCTATGTTTTATTAAGGATGCAAACATTTGGTGTTGAGTTGAGAAAGGTTAATCAATTCTGCGAACCCCGGCTAACTGAACTTATTGTTAAGTACTACTTGAGAAGTGATTAATCTAGTTTTATGAACTATTTTAATGAAGAATAACCCTAGTCTCTTAATTGTTTCAAAGTCAAGTTGATTTTATACTACCTTAAATCATTGTTTTCCTAATTTCATTTCACAACTCTTTTACAAGATTTGTCTCACTGAACCTAATCAAGAACACATTAATGATTTTTAACTCATCTAGCCTTAGTATATGAGGGAACGATACTTTTTACATTACTTACGAGGTTTAGCTAATCGACAAACAAGTTTTTAGCGCCGTTTCTAGGGACTAACGACGAGATTGTTTGTGGTTGATTGTCCTTATTGTGTGATTGGTTACGCTTAAGTTTCTTTTAGCATTTGTAGTGATAGTTATAGGTAGTAGTAGTATTATTTATTTAGTTCATTTCTCTTCATAAGTTTGATACTTGTGTTTTCGATTTGAATGCATAGGTAACCCCTGATGCATGCAAGGAAGATTAGAAGTTATTTTGGAAGAGCTTACTGAAGAAGAATCCAATTCGGGAGAAATTGAAAACACATCAGAGATTCAGTAACAATCCCAGCTACTTCCACCACCACCACTTGAAACAGAACCGCAAGAAGACATGGCGAAAGAAGATGAGAACGATGTATATACTCTGGACAACTATTTCGATAAAGAAGGGCAAACTTTTCATTCGAGTATCCAGCTACTAGACATTCAAGCCAGGAATTTTGAAATCAAGCCCATTATGATTCAACTACTGGGGATGATTAGTACTTTTGAAGGAAATTTCAATGATGATCCGAGTGAGCATTGACCAAGGTTATAGAGGTTTGTGAGAACTTCAAACAAAATGGGGTTACTAAAGATACTCTGAGGTTGAGATTGTTCCCCCATGTCTTTATTTCACAAGGCAAAAACGTGGTTAAATTCTTTGCCAGAACACTCGATTAAGACTTGGGATGAGCTTGTGTCTAAGTTTAAGGCCAGATTTATTCAAAGAGGTAAACATGCTACATTAAGGGATGAGTTTCTTTCTTTTGAGCAGTATCCGGATGAGTTATTCTACGAGGCTTGGGAAAGATTCAAGGATATGTGGAGAAATTGTCCGAATCATGAGCAAAAGAAATATGTTCTAATGGAAGCCTTCTAGAATGGGTTGAATGATCAGATAGTGACAATGCTGAATACCGCTTCAAATGGAGGAATCGGAAAGATGAAGGTAAACGAGCTATACAAATTTTATGAAGAGGTGGCATCTAGCACTATGCAACAATATAACAAGAGAAGGCCAAGTTCTGGGAGATATAAGGAACCGAGCTCTTTATCATCTGGAGATATTGCATTGCAACTTGAAGCAATCTCTAAGAAATTTGACAATTTGGAACTGCAAATTAAGAAGGGTAATGCTACAGGAGTTCATGCACTTCAGGTTTTAGGATACACTTGTGACCACTGTAATGAGGAACATCATTCTGATTAGTGCCCATATACCTTTGAGATAGTCAATTATATGAATAATGCACAGCAATGACCACAAGGAAGCCCTTAATCTCAAATCTACGATCCAAAATTGAGAAATCACCCAAATTTCCCATGGCGAAATGGGCCAAGTTTGAACTCGCCACAAATATTATCATCTGGTACTAAACAAATGGGACCTCCTGGTTTTCATGGCCAACCACAGCAGCATCAACTGCAACAGTAGCATCGTCAGAAGGAGGAATCCAAAATTGAGAAGATGTTTGCTCAGTTATTAGCAAATCAAGAATCTACAAGGGCTGAGAATAAGGCAACCTTCTCTCTCCATGAAACTGCTATCAAGAATCTTGAGGTTCAAATGGGTCAACAGGCTTCACAAATGAATGTACTCACAAGAAATAGCCTTCCAAGTGACACCATTCCCAATCCAAAAAGGGATGGTAATGAAGAGTGTAAAGCTATCAATTTGAGAAGTGGAAAGTAACTACTTGACATTCTGAGGCCTGGTAAGACCAATAAAGACATCACTAACAGTGTGGTAACTGACCTTGATACAAATGAGCTTTCAGAAGAACGTGCTATAGCAGAAGAGGAAGAGATCAAGAAAAGGAAACAAATAGAAGAAAATCTCAATGATGTGGTTCGAGGGAAAAATGTAGAGGGTGAAATGGTTGATGATAAAAAGAGGAAGACAACCCCTCCTCCTACACAGATACCGCCACTTCCTTTTCCTCAATTGTTTAGGAAGAAAGATGAATATGTCTAGTTCATGAAATTTGTGGACATGTTCAAGCAATTACACATCAACATCTCGTTTACTGAAGCATTAGAGCAGATGCATAAGTATGCTAAGTTTCTTAAGGATGTCCTCTCCAAGAAGAAGATATTTGGTGAATTTGAAACAGTAGCCCTTACTGAAGATTGTAGTGCCATCCTGTAGAGAAAACTTCTACCCAAATTGAGAGATCCAGGCAGTTTCTATATCCTATGCAACATAGGCAAACACTTCAATGGAAAGGCTCTATGCGATTTGGGAGCAAGTGTTAACCTGATGCCTGTAGCTGTTTTCAATCGATTAAATTTGGGTGAAACAAGGCCAACAATTGTTACATTGCTCTTTGCTGACAGAAGTATCTCACATCCAAAAGGGGTTATAGAAAATGTCTTGGTGAAGGTAGATAAATTCATATTCCCAGCTGATTTCATTGTGTTAGACTGTAAGGTAGATTGGAACATTCCTATTATCTTAGGACGGCCATTCTTAGCTACTGCAAGAACTCTCATTGATGTGGAAAAGGGTAAGATCACCATGCGAGTAAATGATGAGAAGGTAATATTCAACAAGAATCAAGCCCTGAAATTTCCAAATGATTCTCTTCACTGTAACTTTATCGATGTGATTGACTCTGCAGTACAAGAGGAGTTGATTAACTCTTTGACCAAAGATCCCTTGGAAGCATTGTTGATTGGAGAAACGAGTAGTATCATTGGCAAGGTTGAAGCGTGTGCAGAAATGATGAGTATTGAAGCATTTCTTTATTGAAAAGCTAAGACTTTTGAGCCTCTTAATGTGACTAGTGCTTTAAGCTCTCCGCTAAAGCCTTTTGTTGATAAACCTCTAGTGTTGGAGTTGAAGACTTTACCTCTACATCTCAAGTATGCCTACTTGGGTAGTTCTGCTACATTACCTGTGATTGTTTCTTCTCAGTTGTCCACGTTACAAGAGGAGAAACTGTTAAGGGTCTTGAGGAACCACAAGAAAGCTATTGGCTAGTCCATAGCTGACATTAAAGGGATCAGCCCTTCTTTATGCATACACAAGATTTTATTAGAAGATGATCACAAACCTTCCATTGAGCATTAAAGGAGATTAAACCCGATTATGAAAGAGGTGGTCAAGAAAGAGATCCTTAAATGGCTTTCTACTGGCATAATATACCCTATTTTTGATAGCTCATGGGTAAGCCCAATCCAATGCGTCCCTAAAAAGGCGATATAACTGTAGGGCCTGTTTGGTTTGAGGGGAGGGTGGGGTAGGGATAGGGAGGGGAGGTTTCATCCTCATCTTGTTTGGTTTGATTAAAAAGGAGGGGAGGGAGGGATATTTAATGATCTTTTATTTGGTTCAAGAAGGGGAGGGGAGGGATAATAATAATCCATTTACCATTTTACCCTTACATATTAGTTTATATTTTTTATTGATATATTATATAAATTAATTTACATCTTAATTTAAATCATATAATTTAATAAAAATTCAGTCTTATCATATTAATATGTGCATTAAAAAATTGGCACAGTATTTTTTTAATTCTAATTAATATAATAACATATTTGAAATAATCAAATTAACAAATTTTATATGCTCTAAAAAATTGAAATTTTATTCTCTTTAGGTTATGCCTTTTCCAGCTTTAAAATATATTTAATAAATAATATATTTATAAAAAAATTAATTTTATAATATTATAATTTTTTATTTAAATAATGTTTTTTATTTTTATAATAATTTATAATAATTTTTATTATAATATATTTTTTAATTATAATAATTTATATTTTTTATTTTTTACTTAGGATAATATATTTTTAATTTAAAATAAATATTATAATAACATGTTTTATGGGTGGTTGTGGAATATCAAAAAAATCATAAGGGTATAATGGTTTAAAATTTAGCTCCCCTCCAAAGACCCCCAATTTGGAGGGGAGCTAAAATGGGAGGAGGGAGGGGAGGGAACATTTTGGCTTCCCTCCCCTCTAAAGTTTTTAAACAAATGAGGGTAGGAGCTCATTTTCCCTCCCCTCCCCTCCCCTCCAGCCAAACACACCCGTAGTGGCTAACACCCGAAATAAGCTAGCACCAACTCGTATTACGACTAGGTGGAGAATTTGCATGGACTATCGAAATTTAAATGCGGCAACCAGAAAAGACCATTTCTCGCTACCATTTATTGACTAGATGCTGGATAAACTTGCCGGGCAAGAATTCTTTTGTTTCTTGGATGGATATTTAGGCTACAACCAAATCCCAATAGCCCTAGATGATCAAGAGAAAACAACCTTTACTTGCCTGTATGACACGTTTGCTTTCAAAAGGATGCTGTTTGGTCTTTGCAATGCTCTAGCAATATTCTAAAGGTGCATGATAGCCATCTTTGCTGACATGATTGAGAAGACAATTGAAGTGTTCATGGATGACTTTTCTATTTTTAGAGATTCTTTTGATTGTTGCTTAGATAATTTGGCCGCTATTTTGCAAAGGTGTGAAGAAACCAACTTGGTTCTGAATTGGGAAAAATGTCACTTCATGGTATAGGAGGGCATTGTCCTTGGTTATCGAGTATCCAAACAGGACCTAGAAGTTGACAAGGCAAAGGTATCTGTTATTGAGCAATTGCCTCTACCAACAAGTGTAAAGGCTATTAGAAGTTTCTTGGGTCACGCAGGATTCTACCGTCATTTCATCGAAGATTTTTCTAAAATCACTAAGCCTTTGTGCAATCTTTTGGAGAAAGATAGGGAGTTCAAGTTTGATGACGCTTGCATGAACTCTTTTAAAAAGTTAAAGAAGAAGCTTACATCAGTACCAATTTTAGTGGCACCTAATTGGGAGATATCCTTCATCATTATGGCAAATGCTAGTGATTTCACTGTTAGAGCAGTGCTGGACAAAAAGCAGAAAAGGTCTTCCATCCCATTTACTATGCAAGTAAAACCTTTGATGATGCTCAACTTAACTACACTACTATAGAAAAGGAATTGCTAGCAGTAGTGTTTGCTTGTGAGAAATTCCGCTCTTATATTATAGGCACTAAAGTGACTATCTATACGGACCACTCTGCTCTAAAGTATCTGTTTACCAAGAAAGATTCCAAAGCATGCCTGATTTGTTGGGTCCTTTTACTTCAAGAATTTGACTTGGAAATTGTTGATAGGAAGGGCACTGAAAACCAAGTGGCGAACCATCTGTCTCGGTTGAGTGCTGAAGCTCAACATGATCATTGCCAAGAGATCAATGCAGCTTTCCCTGATGAATGCTTGTTCTTTGTGGATGACTCGACTACTCTATGGTATGCAGATCTAGTTAATTATCTGGTTTGTGGAACTCTGCCACTTCACCATGAGAAGATGTACTTCTGGGAAGAGCCTTATTTGTTCAAAAGATGTGCCGATCAAATGGTAAGAAGATGTGTTCCGGAAGTTGAGCAGCAAGATATTCTAGAGTGTTGTCATTCTTCTGCCTATAGAGGGTACTTTGGAGGAGAGAAAACTACTGCCAAAGTCCTTCAAAGTGGTTTCTATTGGCTTTCACTATTTAAAGATGCATACGCCTTTGTGATCCGATGTGATCGGTGTCAACGAGTGGGAAACATATCAAGAAGGAATGAAATGCCTCTAAATAATATTTTGGAAGTTAAACTCTTTGATGTATGGGGGATTGATTTCATGGGCCCTTTTCCAAAGTCTCTCAATCAAGAGTACATTCTAGTCGTTGTAGACTATGTCTCGAAATGGGTTGAAGCTACGACATGTGTATCCAGTGATGCTAAGACTATGATCAAATTCCTAAAGAAAAACATCTTCACTAGATTTGGAGCACCCCAAATTATCATCAGTAACGGTGGCTCCCATTTTTGCAATCATCAATTTCAAGCTCTGATGAAGAAATATGGTGTAAAGCACACGGTAACTATGGCATATTACCCTTAGTCAAATGGCCAAGCTGAAATATCCAACTGAGAGATCAAAAGCATTCTCGAGAAGGTAGTAGGTGCAACAAGAAAAGATTGGTCATTAAAATTGGATGACACTCTTTGGGCCTACAGGTAGCGTATAAAACTCTGATTGGGATGTCTCCCTCTCTGTTGGTGTTTAGAAAAGCATGTCATTTGCCTGTGGAATTAGAGCATAGAGCTTACTGGGCCATAAAAAAACTCAATCTTGACTTTCAAGCTGCTGGTGCAAAAAGGTTCCTTCAACTGAATAAATTAGAGAAATTTCGCCTTAATGCCTATGAAAGTGCAAGGCTCTATCATGATCAGAAAATTATACCTAAAGTCTTTGAAGCTGGGCAAAAAGGGTTACTTCACAATTCAAAATTGAGACTATTTCTGGACAAACTCAAATTACACTGGTCAAGGCCATTCATTGTGGTACAAGCTGCTAACTATGGTGTAGTAGAGTTGGAAAATGAAAAGGGTGAGAGATTTCATGCAAGTGGCCATCGTTTGAAGCATTATTGGGATGGAAAGGTGGATCGTCAAGTCTCTACGATCTACTTTATTAAGTCATCATAAAAGAGCTGAAGAGTCAGGCTGAAGACTATAAACCACTACTTGGGAGACAACCCAAGCTCTAAACTTGCCTTTTGTGTGTTTGTTGAATTTCGGTTTTATTTTAGTAGATTTACGTTTGATCTTTGTTTTTGTAGGCCTAAAGGTTTATTCCTCAAACTTTGGGGCTTAGCAAGAAGGAGTGGCTGATTTCTGATTAGCGCAACCAGGGAAGTGCACCTAACCTTAATCTCTAGCATTAACCTTGACCTTGTTGATACATCTGGAATATCAAGTGCATCTGATTGAACATTCATTGATATTGTGGCTTTGATTGGTTACTTTGATTATGTTGGAGCTTGTGTTAATTTGAGGCTTGTGGGTTTTGTTTTTGTGTGGTTGTTTGTGTTTTGTTGTTTCCTATGATTGTGCTTGTGTTTAGTCTTGCTTTATTGTGTGTTGTGTGTTGGGAAGTGATAGGTCCAGTTAGTATTTGGTAATTCTTCAATATAGGCTCGTTTTGTAATAACCGCCGTGGTGTGTGTTCAAAAGCCGCAGCGCCCCGTCCTTTCTCAGTGTACTTTCTCTGTAATAGGTGCCTTGGCGCCTTCATCTTTGTTCTTGAGTCCCTCTCTATAAAACATGCTGTGGCGTGTGTGCCTAGAAGCCATAGTGCCAGTCCCTGTTCCCTGAGTTCCAATTCTATATGAGTCGCTGCGGCGTGAGTAACCATGAGCGGCGACACCCTTCTTTTTACCTAGATTTTGCAATTCTGTCATAGGCGCTGTGGCATGAGGTATTAACCACCGTGGTGCCTTCTCGTATGCTGTAGTTTCCATTCTTGCGTTTCCCGTATTACCCTTCCTTATTTTTCTCAATACCCACTTTGCCCCTGTGTATCGGACCGGTTTTGGGAGTGGATTCGCTGTTTTCATTTTACATTCCTAACCCTTTGGTCATTTCCTTCCATCTCCTATCTCTAAACCCCTTTTGACTCCCTTTCCCAAAACATACTCAGCTCCCTCTCCCTCACTGCCATTCTCTCCCACTCTCTTACTATCACTTTCTCTCTACCTCACTGTCGATCTCTATATCTCTCTCTCACCATCAACTCCCTCCCCTCCTTCCCTGCTACTAAGCACTTTCATCAGCGTCTCCATTGTTGTCAACCACTGGTGCGTCTCATCCCTTATCGCCTCTCCTCTTGCGTCATGTCTCTGCTCTTCCTCTGAAGTAAGTTCTGTCTCTTTTTTTTTTTTTTTACCTTGTCTCTTTTATTTCCTTGAGTATGTAGGGAAGTGGGTTCCTAGGAAAGTGCATTGTGGTCTAGAGTAGATTTTGAACTAAGTTTAGGAGGAGTTTGGTTTCTTTAAGGTTGGTTGTGGTTTGTTATCTGAGGTTGCATTATGGTTAGTGTCGAAAAGGTTTTCATAAGAGCATTTCTTCCAAATTCCATTTACCCTATTTGAAAGAAAAAAATGAGGGATTTGTGAAAATGTACTGGTTAAAATTTCATGCTTGTGAAACTTGTTGATTGTGGCTTGAAACTGGCTTGAACAATAAAATGCAGTACTTGTGAAAACTTTCAAATGTGACTGGTTGAAATACTATTTTGAAATTGAGAACTTGTTCTTGAACAATAAACTGGCTTAAAACTTTGTCATTGTCCTAGTACTGTTTTGAAACTAAAAACCAACTTCAAATGCTATTCTTTTTTAGAAATCAAATCGATTGCAGGACTCCGTTGCTGTTTTAATATAAGTACTTGGGCAAGACCTTTTGGAAACAGTTTGATTAGGCGTCTACTGATGGTTGCCTATTTTTGAAAACCTTTTGTAAAACCTCTGTGATTTTTGTTTGGTCTAAGGGTCCTAATGACTTAAGGTTAGAAAGGGCTTAAGTAATGGTGAGAGTGTGCTGTTGGGATTGCTTGAGGTTTACTTTGACTTTTGATCTTACTCTTTGATTTAAGTTTGGGGGAGAGCCTTTTTAGGTTAGTTTTGTTTTCTTTTTTCGGTTGTTTTGTGGTTGTGGTGTGTTATTTGCTTAGTTTGTGTATGGTGTGCTTTGCTCTTTTTGTACAGGTAATAATCAAATGGCCCCTAAGAAGAAAGCTCGTGCTACGTCCCCTGATCCCCCTAACAAGGAGCTTATTGAAAGGAGAGGGTTGCATCAAGAAAGGGAATTTTCTTGCAAAAACAAGTTTAGGTTTTATAAAAAAGCAAGGAAGGTCAAACTCTTAAATCTAATTAGACCCAGAACTGAGGGGAATGAGAAGTTGGTTAGGAAATTTTATATTAAGGTGGCTACAAATTTGAGTAATGAGATGTTTATCCGGTACTAATGTGTCCTCATTACTCCAGAGCGCATCAGAGATTACTATGAGCTTCCCGAGGTTGAAAATTGCCAATATCAGTGGTATCTCAACAACTAAAAGGAGATTCCTCTTGGTGCAATCTTAGCGACACTCACTGGTTTCGATGAGGAGATGTGGGTGAGACCCAAGAGGGGCCAGGCTTATATTATGCGAAAGGACATGATACTTGAGGCCAAAATCTGGTTGCATATTGTCACAAGGAATATTATGCTAACCACTCATCTTAGTGAAGCCCTACTAAATTTGGCACTTCTGATATATCTATTTATGATCAAAGCGACAATGAATATAGGGAAATTGATTTTTGATGCCATATGGGATGCTAGTAGAGCCCACAACACCAATCTTGTCATGCCTCACCTCATCTTGGATCTGTTAACTAAAGCAGAGGTAGAATGGAAAGAAAAAGATCGAAAGTTCAATCCGGTTTCACCATTCAACTATTCCAATTTGGTTCCTAAACGAGAACAGGAACAGATCACTAAAGCCATGTACGCTGAACAGTTCCCTGAGGAGTATAGGAGGGAACAGGAAGCTCAAGCTAATGCCAGTGCTAACCCTACCACCCAAAGCTTGGATCTCCCTACGAGAAATTGGACAGAGAGATACGTCACAGGAGACGTAGACAGAGGCGTGTAGAGGAGTTGTTGCTCCAGATGGCAAGGAAACTAGATATTGACGGGTTGGATGTTGGAGATACAAGAATTGAGGAAGGGTCGCTTGGAGAGGAACATGAAGCTAGAACGTCTAGTGCTGGTATTGGTTTAGGAGATGATATGGCCGTCGATCTGTTTGCAGAGGGTGATGAGGATCAGGGGGTTAGCAGTCCGAGAAGGAGGATGCCTAGCTGGGGTTGTTTCTGCTACTGTTGTTGCTTGTTTTGTTGCTTTTGTTTTTGTTTGTGTTCTTTCAGTTTCTTGTGGCTTGCTCTATTTTGTGTTTCGTTATTTGCTTTTCTAGTTCTGAAAAGGCTACTGATAGCCTGTTGGATTGATTTTGATTTTTGAACAGTATCTGTCACTGTTGATTATAATTGTGTTAACTGCTGAGAACTGATTGAATTTATTGATAATTAACTGATCTTTTCATTGATTAATCTGTGGATACTAATAGTAATTGCTGATTTCATTGAGGTGATCTGATAGCGATACTGTTGAAAGTTGTGCATATTGCTATACTTGTATAGAAAGAAAAGCCAATTTTGACCTTTCATGTAGCCAATATATTGTTTTTGGATTCTAACTGCATGCCCTGATCTTCACTTACTCTTGTTGACAGTGAGGACACTGTCAATTTTAAGTTTGGGGTGGGGATTGATTTTTATGGGTAACAAGATTTTTGTGGATAACAGGATTAAATTTGAAAAGTTTTGAAAGGTCTCTTTGTTGAGTAAATTTTTTTGAGTAAAAAGAGAAAACAGTTAAAACAGTGAAAATTTTGTTATCTTAAATTTTTGCTCGTTTGGTTTTATGAAAGATGAGCTGAAGTGGTGAGTTGTTAGTTGAAAATGTATGAATGGTCTAATGATTGAACAAAATGCTTAGTTACTATGCCTGATAGGAAGTTGTGAATTGCTCTTTGATGCTTGAATTGTGAGGTTAAAACCTGTGTTTCTTTAATTTTGGAGAAACTAATGCACAAAAAGGGTTGAGGTTGAGTGGATAATTTAGCCTTTATACTTTTGTTTCAAGTAAATTGTTTCAGAACCTTCTTCTGATTTCTCAAAGTTTATGATTTGTTCTATATAAATTTGAAAAATGATTAGACAATTCTTAAATGCATTTGAGCCTTTCAAGCTGACCTTAAAGATCTTGTCCTTTAAACTCATACTTTGAGCTGTAAAAAAAAGTGCATATAGATGTTTACATTTTGTTTCAAACCCTAACCTCTTCTTGGCCCAAAACCAATTGAGAAAAACCATGAAGTCCTTAGCTTTGAGATAAATGGAAGTTAGAAGGACAAGGAGTTTGATGAGATGTTGAGATTTTGAAAGGTTGGCAGGGGTAATGGAAATATTTTGGAAATTTAAAGTGTTAGAAACTAAGCTGTGAGTTATTACTTTTAATGTTTTGCTTTAAAAAAACAAAAAAGAAAAAGAAAAAGAGAATGGCATATAAATATTTAGTACAACTCCATGAAAGCTTGGTGAAAAGAGAATAAATTTTGGTACAAGTTTGGTGGAATGAAAGTGGTTGAAGTGAGTTTTGATTACGAGTATCTATTTATCTCAAAGTATTTGTATACTCTATTTTCCCTTTCTTTCCTAAACCATGACCTCTTGGCCACGTTACAAGCCGAAAAGTCCCTTTGATTTCAAATTTATGTGAGGTGAGTTGTAGGCGGAGAGAGAGAAGGAGTTAGGCTTATGAAAGTATGCGGTTGAAGGTTAGTATGTTGGCTAAAGTTTCACATTCTGCTGAGACATTATCATGAGAGATGTTCTTTGACTCTATACACACATTCACACTCCAAAATCATTGAAAGTTTGTTCTAAGCTCATGAAACTTGTTTCTTTGGGTGATTCAGTAATTTTCTATCCTATATATTTTCTTGAGCATTTAATGAGGATATAACTGTTCCTACAATCTTTGATGTGTAATTTGTTACTCAGTTGCTGGTTTGTTGTTTTACTCCAGGATGAGCAAAA